ATGATCTGAGCATAGTCAGCTCCCGATCTTGTTTCTGCTGACTATATAGAGCTTCTCCATCTTTGACTGCAAAGAATATAATCAATCTGATTTCAGTATTGACCATCTGGTGATGTCCACGTGTAGAGTCTTTTCTTGTGTTGTTGGAAGAGGTAGTTTGCTATGACCAGTGCGTTCTCTTGGCAAAACTCTGTTAGCCTTTGCCCTGCTTCATTTTGTACTCCATGCCCAAACTTGCCTGCTATTCCAGGTACCTCTTGATTTCCTACTTTTGCATTCCAGTCTCCTATGATGAAAAGGACATCTTTTTGGGGTGTTAGTTCTAAAAGGTCTTGTAGGTCTTCATGGAACCATTCAGCTTCAGCTTCAGCATTACTATTTGGGGCATAGACTTGGATTACTGTGATATAGAATGATTTGCTTTGGAAATGAACAGAGATCATTCTGTTGTTTTTGAGTTTGCATCCAAGTACTGCATTTCAGATTCTCTTGCTGACTATGATGGCTATTCCATTTCTTCTAAGGGATTGTTGTCCACAGTAGTAGATAAATGATCATCTGAGTTAAATTTGCCCATTCCAGTCCATCTTAGTTCGCTGATTCCTAGAATGTCAATGTTCATCCTTGCCATCTCCTGTTTGACCACTTCCAACTTGCCTTGATTCATGGACCTAATATTCCAGGTTCCTATGCAATTTTGCTCTTTACAGCATCAACTTTACTTCCATCACCAGTCACATCCACAACTGGGTGTTGTTTTTGCTTTGGCTCCATCTCTTTATTCTTTCTGGAGTTATTTCTCCACTCTTCTGCAGTAGCATTTTGGGCACCTACCAACCTGGGGAGTTCATATTTCAGTGTCTTATCTTTTTGCCTTTTCATACTGTTCATGGGGTTCTCAAGGCAAGAATACTGAAGTGGTTTGCCCTTCCCAATTCTAGTGGACCATGCTTTGTCAGTGGACCACATTAATTTTACGTTAACTAGGTTCATATGTCTTTGGAACAAACCCTAAAAAATATAAATTTCTAAGTTTTTAAAAACATCATAGAGAAAAAATTTTAAGTCAGTATACAAAGCCTTAGTGGATTAAACAGCTAGGAATCAAGTGAATTTCTAGTCTAGGTATCCCATCTAAAGATGGGATAAGATTCAGGCAAAAAATACTAGAAGAACATGGAAAAACACTGTGCAGACACTCTTAGTCTGCCTAGGCTTCTGTAACAAAATAATAAGACTGGGTTTAACAAGAGATATTAGTCTTTCACAGTTCTTAAGGCTGAGAAGTCTAAAATCAAGGTGCTAGCAATTCAGTCCGTGGTGAGGACCCCTTCCTAGATAGTACATAGCTCTGGCAATCCAGTTCGTGGTGAGGGCCCCTTCTGGGATAGCGCACAGCTTCCTTTTGGCTCTGTTCTCAGGTGGTGGAAAGTGAGAATTCTGATCCTTTTTCCTCTTCTTCAAAGTGAAAGTTTCTCAGGCATGTCGACTCTTTGCAACCCCATGGAATATACAGTTCATGGAATTCTCCAGGCCAGAATACTGGAGGGGGTAACCTTTCCCTTCTCCAGGCGATCTTCCCAATCCAGGAGTTGAACCCAGGTCTCCTGCATTGCTGGTGGATTCTTCACCAACTGAACCAGTAAGGAAGCCCTCTTCTTACAAGTCCTTTTCTTATAAGGCTGCTAATCTCTGCATTTTCTCATGACTTCATCTAAACCTAATTACCTCCTGAAGCCCCACCTCCAAAACCATCACTCTATGGGTACTAGAGCTTCAACATATGATTTTTGGTTGTGGGGGGAGGAATAAAAACACTTAGCCCAAACATATACTCTGGTAACTCCTATTTTTCTATTTAACAAACTGTCATGAACATTTTTTTTTCATATTAATAAATGTCCTCTGAAAGCATGAAAAAAATTCTGGAAAAAGACACAGCTCAGGGAGTAGGGTAAAAGTCTAGAAGCATTTAGTCAAGCTTGTTATAACAGAGCAGTGCAAAAGTTAGGGCTGCATTTCAAGTAGTTTTGAGAAATTAAGATGGTTTGAAGGTTGTGATCAAGTTGTTCTTTTAACAAGACATGACACTGGGAGCCAAGACCAAGAGTTCAGGCAAGAACTCCATCAAACAGGCAGGACACCTACTGTATAGTTCAGTTACAGTAACTAAAGCCCAGAGCTTACGTGAACATATTTGGGGCTACATTTATCCCAAGCTAGTTTGAGAATTGGGTATACTGAAACCTCCACATGAATCAAGGACTCTCAGACAGACAGCAATCCTGCTGTGAAAATATGATTTGTCCAAGCTTCCAGCTCTAGGAACAAGGCACACAGGTCATGATTTCTAGTTTGTGGTATATATTTCTTTCCAGATCCATCACTTTCTATTGATTGAAGAAGGAAAATAGGTAACATTTCTTTCAGTTTGTTAATAAGGAAGCAGTTGTTACTGTAAATGACAATACATCACAGCCTTCAGGCTAAAATAGTTATTATTTAAATTTGTTTTGTGACAATATCTGTTGTCCTAAAGATGTGGTTATTCTCATAGACAATAATTCATTTATTTCTTTTGCTATTTATACTGTCTTGCCCTCAGAGGCGTATTCAAAGCACTCCTAGTTGGACAGCCATGTGGCAGTGAGCTTCCCATTGTACACTGTTACAGCTTTTCCAAAGATGCTAATCCAGCTAAGGATGTTCAGCAATGAGATGGAACTGTGTTAGGCATATGCTTGGAGGCATATAGTTCAGTTCACCTAGTAAGAAATGTGGCCCCTAACAAAGAAATGTTATGCATCACTTTCCGGGTTTCTGATGCTATACTTTATAAGAACTAGACCATAAATCGAGACAATTATGAAGATCCACCTCTTAAATGCCAGAGGACAGATAAAGACTTTTAGGAAGAAAAAATACAAATTGCTTCAGTCACTTAATTGGAAATATTTTCTCCATCTCCCCACTAGACATTTGTGATAGTGAACTATCATTGTATAATTTCTAATATGTTAACGTTCAGTTACTTTAGTATTGAACCCCTTTATTTTACCCTAGCTGGCTTCCCTGGTGGCTCAGATGGTAAAGAATCTGCCTACAATGCGGGAGACCTAGGTTCGATCCCTGGATTGGGAAGATCACCTGGAAAAGGGAATGGCAACCCACTCCAGTATTCTTGCCTGGAGAATCCCATGAGTAGAGGTGCCTGGTGGGCTACAGTCTATGGGGTCACAAAGAGTCAGACATGACTGAGTGACTAACACACCTATATTAATGTGCCCGTGAGCTAGGTCACTTCAGTCGTGTCTGACTCTTTGCAACACTGTTGACTGTAGCCCACCAGGCTGCTCTGTCCATGGGATTCTCCAGGCACAAATACTGAAGTGGGTTGCTGAGCCCCACTCCAGGTGATCTTCCTGACCCAGGGATCGAACCTGCGTCTCTTGCATCTCCTGCATCGGGAGGCAGGTTCTTTACCACTAGTGCCACCTGGGAAGCCCATTATTATTAATATCTTATACTAAAGATTTTGAGGAAAAATGAAAGAAAACTAAAGATTCATGTTTTAATGTGAGTATAGTTGAAAGGAAAGAAAATGACTATTCATTATGTACTATATATATATATACATATATATATAAATATATAATTTATTAGATCTTTTAGAAATGTTACTTTGTAAGTCCTGCTTTATATATTTGTAAATATCATTCTTATTTTCTTTATATAAGAAACTATATTCTTTTAGACACTTTTACAAGTATATAAAATACATAATGCCATAAATAGGGGAGAATCCAATAATAACTATAATATGCACCTGTTTTACCCAGAGCAACATTGGAAAAAGAAAATGATTGAAAAATAAAAGGCATCACCTTTATTTTTGACCATCAGATCTCATCTCTAAGTTCAGAAATGCCCTTTAGGTATTTCTAAATTGAATTCACCCTTGGATAAATGTGAGGATTGAACAATAAGTTTGACTTTAGTGTTCATCTATAAACACAAAATATAATTTTACCTGAAAATGTTTTAAGATTTTGTTAGCCTGTAGGCTTTCCAAGAAAGCATGCAGTTTTAATACAAGCTATATGCAGGTTGTAAGACTTGGATGAAAAATTATGACTCAAGATTCTGGACCTTAAAGGTAATGCATGATATTCAAGTACTGTTAAAATGATTATCTGTAGAGAGAAATGGTAGATTACTCTAACTATAAAGTCATCATAAGAAACAATGTCTTCTATATGATATAGATTAGAGTAAGACACAAGACAACTTACATTACTCACCAACTCACCACAAGAATTTACACAAAGTATGGGAAAAAAATTCAAGAGCAATGATCAAAGAGGATCAACTAAACATTTATTTGTGCAACTCTGTGACCAAGTTGACATAATTTTCACAAGTATGAAAAGCTGACATATAAAACATAGATAACCACCAGCGCTCCATTTTTAGGGGTGGAGACAGCAAAGAGGAATACTCACAAGGTTGGGTTGCTAGAAATTTCATTTTGTGCTACAGGAAAGCTAAGCCACCCAAGAAAAGTGTTTCTATCGGCTTTTTCCTAGAAGAAAAATTACATAGCATGATTGGGATATGAGAAAATTTGGAAAAGTGGAATAATAATATTTGTTGTAATTTTTCCTGCATTAAGTTGTAGAGAACTTGGCTTTGAGCTCAAGGCACTAGAGAAAAGCAATTACTCTAAATACCTCTTTCCACCCTAATTTATATGGCTAAAGAAAGAACAATTACGTGTTTTGTATTTTTACATTCTCTTGTGTACAGAAAATCCTTAGAGATAGGTGTTTTTTTTTTGTTTGTTTGTTTGGTTTCCCGATTTCTCTCTTGAAGGGATGAATAAGATTAATTACTTACCAAAGGAAACCTTTATTTCTTAGATGTCATTTGACAATTAGAAAAGATTAAAAGCAAGCAAAGTAAAATTTCTCTGGCCCTGCATGTTCTTATTTATTCTTCAGGAAATCCAGTCTCCCCCTAGATAATCTTGAGAAGTTCCTGGAATTGTCATAGCCACTGCTCCAAGAAATGAGTTGTCTCCATGGCTACTGCATGCATTTTAGCACTTTTCTCTTTCTTCTTTTGCTCACTGAGTATCGCAGCTGTTGCTCTTCCCCAAATGTCAACTGTGCTACCAATACCCACTGGAGACACACTGCTCCTGCTACTGGTACAGAGTCCCACAGCGGCCCCGGAGCTGACCTTCGTGCTGACCTCTGCACCAACTACTGATGGCTGATAGTGTTGATGACCACAGCCTAGCCCAAGAGTACTCCCAAATTTGCCATCCCTCACCTCTATCTTCCCTAATCAGCATAAATGTTATCTCTTACCTGAGTTTTCAGATTTTTGTGTCCCACATTATTTCCCTTCTCTCTGTCCTAGTCTGTCTGTCTCTTTTTTTTCATTGTCTTCCTTGCATGTTAAGACACAGGAAAATGCAGGTGAAAAGTCAAGGCGGATATTTACCTCTTGGACCTTATCTTAGGGGAGGAGAGACAGAGCATACATACATACATAATCATTACCTGTGAAGTAAATAAAGCTGTTTATTTGTTAGAAAGTTATAGGTATAGTGTCTGCTTTACACAGTCTAGTCAGGAAAGCCTTCCCTGAGACATGAAGGACAAGAGGAGTTAATAATGCATAGAGTAAATATTCCATTTAGAGGCAATGATAAATTTAAATTCTTTAGGCAATAGAGAGCTAAGTATATTTAAGTATACTGAAGAACTGAAATGAAGCTAATCTATCACTGAAACTACATGACTTGACTTGAATTTAAAATAAGTTTCTCCCCCCCTTGGTATTCACTTACACATGTACGTAGGCCCTACTGCCTTCTTGAAATGTCCTAAATATACCTACATCTTATAGTGAATATGATTTAGTCTCAATTGAAGTCTTCTCTACAGGCCAAAATATGCAGTAATTAAAAATCCAAGAAATTCCCCAAGATATGCAAATCCCCAAAACCTAAGATCAGGTCAGACTTTTAAAATACTTTATAAGAAACTTCAGCCCTCAGATTGGGAGAAAATAATAGCAAGCAAAGCAACAGACAAAGGATTAATCTAAAAAATATACAAGCAACTCCTGCAGCTCAATTCCAGAAAAATAAATGACCCAATCAAAAAATGGGCCAAAGAACTAAACAGACATTTCTCCAAAGAAGACATACAGATGGCTAACAAACACATGAAAATATGCTCAACATCACTTATTATCAGAGAAATGCAAATCAAAACCACAGTGAGGTACCATTACATGCCAGTCAGAATGGCTGCTATCCAAAAGTCTACAAGCAATAAATGCTGGAGAGGGTGTGGAGAAAAGGGAATGCTCTTACACTGTTGGTGGGAATGCAAACTAGTACAGCCACTATGGGGAACAGTGTGGAGATTTCTTAAAAAACTGGAAATAGAACTGCCATATGACCCAGCAATCCTACTTCTGGGCATACACACCAAGGAAACCAGATCTGAAAGAGACACGTGCACCCCAATGTTCATCGCAGCACTGTTTATAATAGCCAGGACATGGAAGCAACTTAGATGCCCATCAGCAGATGAATGGATGAGGAAGCTGTGGTACATATACACCATGGAATATTACTCAGCCACTAAAAGGAATTCATTTGAATCAGTTCTAATGAGATGGATGAAACTGGAGCCCATTATACAGAGTGAAGTAAGCCAGAAAGATAAAGAACATTACAGCATACTAACACATATATATGGAATTTAGAAAGATGGTAACGATAACCCTATATGCAAAACAGCAAAAGAGACACAGATGTACAGAACAGACTTTTGGACTCTGTGGGAGAAGGCGAGGGTGGGATGTTTTGAAAGAACAGCATCGAAACATGTATATTATCTAGGGTGAAACAGATCACCAGCCTAGGTTGGATGCATAAGACAAGTGCTTGGGCCCGATGCACTGGGAAGACCCAGAGGGATCGGGTAGAGAGGGAGGTGGGAGGGGGGATTGGGATGGGAATACATGTAAATCCATAGCTGGTTCATGTCAATGTATGACAAAACCCACTGCAATGTTGTAAAGTAATTAGCCTCCAACTAATAAAAATAAATGAAAAAAAAAAAAACAACACTTCAGGTTCCTTGTGCAGCCTGTCACTTCATCTCAACAATAAGTGAAAAATTGAGCAAACTGAAAAATCAACAGCTCTTCTTAAATTCTTAAGAGAAAAGTGAAGTCACAGGGCAAGCCAGTGCCATCAAATTGAAGAGACTAATGGGCAAATACAGAGGATCACAACTTGCTCGAGCAGAAACCCACTAGCAGACACCATCACAGGAACCAGGGCCAGGGAAGGGAAACCTGAATTTGCTCAATGATTAATTGATGGAGACTCTGTGTAGGAAATTCTGAGGCAGAAAAACCCCAGAGGACCCAGAGTCATTGGAGGGGTCTCACACTTCTGTGAAGTTTACAACCTGGAGCTCTACCAGGTTCTCAGGGTGAATATCAGAGAAAAATCCTCCCATGCTTTCAGCAGGGTGATGGGGAAAGGAACCTTTTTGAAATACACCAGAGCATTCTGTACTTCTTAACAAGGTCTGTCCTCAGGAGACACTACTTAAGTATAGCCTAACTTAAGCTGCTTGGGTTTTATCAGAACCTAATTGATCTGAGGAAGGAGAGATATCCAACTCCAGACCATTCTAGCCATCTTGTACCACCTCAAGGGTGAGAAAAGAAAAAAAAAAAAAACCTGAGAGGCACTGGTGAAGTTCACCATCTACAGGCATAGGCTCATTAAAAGACTGAGAATGAGAACTAAGCATAGAGCTGAAATGTGTCCCCAGCTCATCATGACATTACTAAAGTTTTGTGTACAACTAGTTCCACTATTGCAACTGAATTCACTGTCATAATTGGAGAGTTCAGCACACCTCTAGCAGAAAATGGTTTCAGCAGGGAGAAAGTCAGTAAGGACATAATTGAACTAACGCCCCCATGAATCAACTGTATATAATGGATTCTATAGCCTACTTCATTTAACTTATGCAAAATGCTACATTTTTTTTCAGGTTCATGTGAAGCAGTCCTCAAGACAGACCACATTCTGGGCCATAAGACACTTCTTAACAAACTTAAAAATAATAAAAATCACATATCTCTTCTCATTGTCGTTTCATCCTTAAGTCATGTACAACTCCTTTATGACCCCATGGAATGTAGCTTGCCAGATTCCTCTATTCATGGCATTTCTTAGGGAAGAATACTGAAGTGGGTTACCATTTCCTTCTCCAGGGGATCTTCCCAATCCAGGGATCAAACCTGGGTCTCCTGCATTGGCAAGCAGATTCTTTACCACTGAGTCATCTGGGAAGCCCTATCTCTTCTCATGCCACAGTGGAATTTAAAATAGAAATCAATAACAGAGAGATAATAGGAAAGACCCATGATACAAGAAGATGAAACAACATACTTCTAAATAGCCCATGGGTCAAAAAGAAATCTCAGGAGGAATTAAAACCATTTTGAACTAAATGAAAGTAAAAGCACAATTTATCAGAATTTGTGGAACACAGCAAAAGCGATGTTTATAGGGAAAGTTAGAGCACTGAATGAATATATTAGAAAAAAAAGGTCTAAAAGGTCTATTCCTAAAGATTCTGCTTTAGGAAACTAGTGAAAGAAGAGCAAATTCAATTCAAAGTAAGCAAAACGGATGCAATAATAAAAATTAGGGAAGAAATCAATGGAATTGAAAGAGTAGGTGAATGAACAGATAAACTATGGTATATCAAGGTGATGGAATATTTTTTGGTACTAAAAAGAAATGTTATTAAGCCATGAAAAAACATGGAGGAAACCTAAATATGTATTAATAAGCAAAAGAAGCCATTCTGAAGAGGCTACATACTGCATGATTCTACCCGTGTGAAATTCTGGAAAGGCAAAACTAGAGACAACAAGAGGTCAATGTGGTCAGGATTTGGAAGTAAGAAGGGAGGAATGAATAGGTAGAGCACAGTTGACTTTTAGGGGAGTGACGCTATTTTGTATAATATTATAATAGTGGACACATGTCCTTAAGACATTTGTCCAAGTCCATACAATATAGTACACCAAGAGTAATGCCTTCTAATGCAGAGGGTACCTGTTCAATCCCTGGTCAGGTAGCTAAAGGCTCGCACATGGCTCGCAGCCAAAAAGCAAAAACATAAAATGGGAGCATCATTGTAACAAATTCAATAAAGACTTTAAAAATGATCTACATCAAAAAATCTTAAAAAAAACTTTTAAGGTAAACTTTGGACTTTGGGTGACAATAATGCTTAATGTGGGCTCATCAATTATAACAAGTATACTAGTCTGGGAATGTTGATGATGGGGAGGCTATGCACTTGTATGGGCAGGAGGTATATGGAAAATCTCTGTGCTTTCTGCTAATTTTTGCTGTGAATATAAAGCTATTAAAAATAAACTCTATTAAATACAAACAAAGTCTGTTGAATAAAAACAAATTAAGTCTATTAAATAAAAACAAATAAAATCTATTAAATAAATACAAAGTCTATCAAATAAAAAAAAGAGAACCACAAGTACTTATATTTGCTAGACATCAAACTAATTTAAGATATCAGGGTCAGTGTATTGTATACAACAAATCTGAAAAGCATTATGCTAATGAAAGAAATTAGTCACAAAAGCACACATCTTGTATTACTTCATTTATATGAAATGTTCAGAATAGGCCATTTTATGGAGGCAGAAAGTAGATTTGTGGCTCCCAAGGGCAGAAGACTGGGGAAAATGGGAAATGATATGGATTTTTGTTTTGTTTTAGGTGGTTAAAATGTTCTAAAATTGAATTGTGGAAATGGTTGCATAGTTACATAAATATACTTATAAACCACTGAAATGCACATAGAAGAATATGCATTTTAAGGGGTGTGTAATTTTAAAGGATGAATTTGTAAAATATGAATTATATTTCAGTAAATTATACTTACAGTAAATTATATTTCAATAAAGCTATTTTTTAAAAGATTAATAAAATAGAAATACCTTTAAACCTTAAAATATTTTTAAGTAGATAAAATCAAATAGTAGCAAGATTTACAAACTTTTCAGTTAATAACTAGGCTCCTCTGTCCATGGAATTCTCTAGGCAAAAATACTGGAGTGGGTAGCAATTTCCTTCTCCCTCCCAATCCAGGGATTGAACCTGGTTCTCCTGCACTGCAGATGGATTCTTTACCATTTGAGCCATCAGGGAAGGCCTTTTAAGTAGATAAAATCAAATAATAATATAGATTTACAAACATTTCAGTTAATAAGTATGGATGTTTCAAGAGAAATTCTAAAGAAGTCAGAATTATTTGGAGAAAATCAAGAGTAAAGGAAAATATACATAACATTGTAACTTTAATTTTATAATAAGTAACAAGAGGACTTTGTCTAAGATAACACAGAGGTAAAATGACAGCCCTGGGACCTGAGTATCCATTGCTAAAAGTCTTCTTTTGATATTGAAGTTTCCTTGAAATTCCAGTGTGTCAGCAAATAAATATCTTTTTCACCTTAAGTCATATTTTTAGGGGACTTCCCTGGTGGTCCAGTAGTTAAGACTTCATGCTTCCACCACAGGTTCCTTGGGTTCAATCCCTGATGGAGTAGGTAAGATTCCAGATGCCACACAGCAAGGCCAAAATGAAAACAAACAAAAAAGATCATATTTCTAGAACACAATGAAAAATCTATAAGGTGTTAAAAATAAATCCTTTTAAAATATTTACACCTCTCACAAATTTCCTCCAGGACATAAGAAAGGGAAAATGCATATTAAGTATTTTAGATAATTAACATTTCAAAAATGTCCAGAAAAAGACTAATACAAATTCTTTGCATGCAAATAGAATACTACTATCATGACCACAGATCTGAAACTGCAGCTGTGAAACAATTGTTTGGTTTTGTGGCATCAAAGCTCTGTTTCATTTGTTTTGGGCACCTAATTTAGGAA